AGATGATCTTTCCGATGCTAATTTCACTCTTTTAAAAACTGATAAAGAGGAGCTTTTTAAATTCCAAGCTTAGGAAGACGTCTTTTGGAAGAAAAAATTAGTTTACTACACAATTGCATAATTCAGAATTATTCTTTAAACTTTCTAAAAATGGTTTTTGAAAATCCAAGAAATTTTTATAATTATCAATTCACCCCCCTCCCACCACCACCATCTTGGTTAGCTTTGGGTTAGTTTAATAAGGTCTAACAACCTACTAGAACTTTAACATTCTAGGGAAATGAGTAGCTAGCACCCAAAAATAAAAGATAAAATAAAACCATTCAACACCATCTTTCTAAAAGAAATTGAAGAGCCATTAAACAAAAACAAAGAGCCAAAGCACCTGCAAAACATGATGGCTGTAAAGCAAATTATTGACTAAAATAATATAGAAATAGTAGAGTATAATGTCAGAAAGTATATAGTAACCATAAAAATCACTACCAAAAATTGATAAGAAATGAAAAGGGATCTCATGACACCTCCACCAAAACACAATTATCATAAGAAAATTAAAGAGAAAACAAATAAACTCAACCTAATGCCAATAAATAAAATAAAGAATGTAATTGCTTGAATAACTACCATCCAGCTAGATATCCATAATAAAGGATCTCTACCAAACATTATAATACTAATCACAACTAAGATTAGCATCCAAACAAGGATTATTAAAGATCAGCCACCAAGGACTCTATTTCCTCCACAAAATAGTAATATAACTCATTAATTTGAATGCACCGACCACACATTTCATGAAATAGCTTGAGAAACTAAAATTTTAAACTGCATGAAGACAAAAACCATAACACATAAAGAGAATAATCCCAAGCCCGTAACAACAGAATGAAATAACCTTCTTGGGTAGAAAAATAAGCATAGATACCCCAGGCATAATCAAAAGTATTATTAGCATAATTCACACAACAAAACCCATCCAGAATGCTATAAACAATAGGAAATAGCTTGTTGGTATTATAATTACAAATGCAAAAAATAGCTACTAAATCTAATACCAATCAAATTATAACCCAGTAGCCAAGTCAGAGAATTTAACAGACAATCAATGAAGATAAAGGAGCCAACAACTAGACAAGAAATAAAACCACTCCCATAAAAACCAATGCCATAATTAAGAACTAAGTAAAGCCTCCAAGGAAAGCCAACAACTAGACAAGAAATAAAACCACTCCCATAAAAACCAATGCCATAATTAAGAACTAAGTAAAGCCTCCAAGGAACTGCACAAAGAGTCCAAAGAGATTCCACCATGAACATGAGTAGGCGAAGGCCATAAAAGCTCAGGATAGTGGTATCAGTGTTCCTCTCATGAAAAACACCTAATTGTCGCTCCAACATATCCTTAGACTAACCCAGGCAACTCCAATTCTAGGGTGGAGAATAAAACCAATAGTTTATGATCAAACTTCAACTAACAACCCTTAACCACATACCCGTAGATAAAGGCATCCAATAGGAATAAACCCAACAAGAAAAAAGAGTAAGATCCTTAAGAATATAAATTCATATTAAGCAAAGACAACATAATAGAGTTCTCACAAGAGATCTGGAAACCCTCAAAAAGCCATTTAATAGAGCTGTCCTGACAGACCCAAAAAACAAGCATAGCACGACCAAAGGACAAGAAACCCTTAACATAAGGGATATATAAGGAGCATTTAAGGTGTAAATCAAGAAAAAAAAGTATAATCATAGCTAATAACAAGCCTAACCCACACAAGAAAAGGCACAGGGCAAGAAAATTATGCTCTAGAAAAAGGAGAACTAAAGTGAACCAACTCACAAAATGTATGAGCAAAAATACCACCAGGTCGTTAAAAAAATTAGGCTAGCAAAGTCAATATAGTACAGCCCATGGAAAGGAGGTAAAGAACTTGAAAAAAAACAAGTTGTTAGAAGTATTCCAATGCAAAAGAATAAGCAGCTCAAAGAAAACATTAAGAAGGCTTAAGTAGCATTAACCGAAAAAACCATAAACCAAATGATCACCAGCCGATCAATGTAATCATAGAAAGAGGGATAATCCACCACTCTAAGCAGAAAGCTTAAGAAATACCAAAAGCAAGCCCAATTAACTTCTAAAATAAGGCAAACCTAATTTATCCAAATAAATGAGGCCTTCAATAAAGGTAGGCAATTCAACATAAGTAAATTCGATTGGACTTTACAAATTGGAACCTCAATTAGCAAACCAATCAGCACAAGAGTTTCCTTCCCTATGAATATGAGTAATCTTCACATGAAAAGAAAGAAGCATCTATTTAATACCCCTAATTAAATAAAATAAATTAGGACTACATACTTTATCATACATACTTTAAGGCAAAAAATTATATAAACTATGCCAACCTCAATTCAAATGTTAATAATACTAAGGGATAAACATATTTTCAAACCATAAAAGAAAGAAGATAGCTCAGCAAAATGAACAGAGCTATTAAAAAGAGGAATGACATAAGCAATGATAAAGTTACTAGTAAAATATCTAATAATACCAGCACACCCACAAGAATTCTTCTTCATCGACCCATCATAATTGAGGTTATAAGTATTAATAGGAGGTTTTAACTAATACACCAAGTTAGGAACATCAATGTGGTCATTAACAGTTAAAAAAATACAAAACTCCTTAGCAGCAAAGGTAAAACCTTTAAAATTCTTAACAGTTAAAAGATGGGAACAAGGATTGTTAATGCAATTTGAGAGAAAGTTAGAGAGAGATAGTCTGGGATTTCAAATTCTTGGATTTGGCGGTTCGTGCAATTCGTGCGGGCGGTGGCGGATCGCTCTGGCGACTGGCCGGCTAACTGGCTTTCTAGAGCTTTGACGATGGATCAACGTCATCTTCTACCATCAGATGTTTGGAAGAATTGTAAGAAGAATTTGGCGGTACTGACCTCGGAGGTGTTTAATGGTAATTCTAAGGTGTTGGAGGGATTCAACCAAAACTTTAAGGGTTTTAATTGTAAACCTCTTGTTATCAATGAGGGGGGTTTATTAGGAAGATCAGAATTACCTATTCTGATTTCTGGCAAAGGTAAGAATGTTATCAAGGTTGGAGTTGTTAGTTTCTTAAAAGGAAATTTTGTTCCGGAGGGGGACTTTAAAGAAACAGATTTGGACTGTTCTGTTTCTTCTGATCTGAGAGTTTATTCATGTAAGAATTTTGACTCAAAATCCTTACCTTCTTCTCCAAGTAGAAGAGATTCCTCTGTCAAAAACCTGGTTAGTAGTAATCCTCGGGAGGCGGATATTGTGATTGAAGATTTGCTTCTGAAGGCTAGTAGTGTTATTCCTGATGCTAAGGAGTCAGATGCGATCGTAGATAATACGGTGCATTTGCATTCGGCGTGGAATAAAAAATAGCATGTTAAAGTTGATAACCTGGACCTGGGATCATTTCTATCTGATGATGGGAAGGTTGTTATTCTCCAAACAGACAAAGAAATGGAAAATGCCAGGAGACTGGAGAGGGCTGTTGTTGTCAAAGTTTTTGATGATAATATTCCTTTTCATGTGATTAGTTCTGATTTGAGAAGACAATGGGATAAATATGGTCTTGGTTGGACGCTGTGTTCGTTTGAAGATTCTGCAGCTGTTGAACAAGTTCTGTCAGGAGGACCTTGGTGGATCAGCGATCAAGTGGTAGGATTGGATAAGTGGTCTGTCAATTTTAATCCTATGTCTCTCAGTGGCATCTCGTCTCCAATTTGGATTAGATTGCCGAATCTTTCCTTGCAGTGCTGGGATGCGATCAATATTTGCAGGATTGCCTCGCTAGTAGGAAAACCATTTCTTCTAGATGGAAACTCCTTCCAATGAAGCAGGAGGGAATATGCCAGGGTGTGCGTTCGTGTTTCCCTGGATAAGAAGTTAGCTCATGGTGTTTGGGTGGAAGGTCTATCAGGAAAGTTTTTTCAAAAAGTTGAATATGAAGGAATATCTAAAATTTGTGCTTGTTGCGGTAGAATTGGACATAATTTGAATGCTTGTAATGAACCAAAGAAGATGGCCAGGCTGGAGAAGAACTGCAATCCGATTGACAATATTCCAAGCAGTAATGTTACCGAAGACAGTGTGGAGAAGGCAGTTGAGAAGGAAAATTGGACTATTATTAGTAACAGGAAGAAGAATTTCTATAATATTCAGAATTTGAAGAGATTCCCTCCCAGGAAAAACCCTGTTCCAATGAAAAAGATCTTTGTTCCTAAAGCTATTAATTCTGTTGATGTTAATCTTATTTCTTTGGCTGATAAAGAGGTTGGTGCTAAGCTGGATGAGGTGAGGGATATGTCTTTTTTGAAAGAGAAGAATGTTGAACCAACTATTGTGGTTGGTAATTCAATGGAGTATTTATCTCTCAAGACCAAAAAGATGATTGATAAGGAAGTGAACATTGCAGTGGAGATTAACAATAAATTTGTTGCGTTATCTGATTTGGAGGAGGGTGTTAGAGAGGAGCCTGTCGCAACTATTGATAAAGGAACTTTGGAGGAAGGAGAAATTCCTGATTCTACTTTGGAAGGAGTTGTTTTGAAGGTAGATAAGTATGAGAAGCATAGTCCTCCGGTTGCTCGTGAAGTTGTTATAGCCAAGAGTCACTCTGATTTGAGTTTGGAGGGTAACCTTTCCTTGGATAAAAAAACTATACTGACTAAAGAACTCAAATCTATTGGTGCTAGTAATATAATTGCTCATAATAGGAAGGGAGAAAGTGGAAAAGTCAATAAGAATGGGGGTCCGTCCCCCATCTTTAGAAAATGAGTTCTCTATTATTCTGGAATTGTAGAGGAGCCAGGAAGGTGGAGGCTGCTCTAAATCTAAAGGAAGTGGTGAAGGATTATAAAGTTTTTTTTGTTGGTTTGTTGGAAATAAAGATTTGCTTTTTAGACAACAACCAAATTTTGAAGATTTTGTGTAGCAATTGGGATTATTTCATGGTTCCAGCTGGTGGTCTTTCAGGAGGTCTTTTGATTTTATGGAGGAAGGACTTGGCGGTTTTCTCAGTTATGGAAGCTTCTTCCCAGCTAGTGGTGGGGAAGTTGGAAGTGTTGGGTAAGGGAAGTTGGATTGTTGCTTCTGTGTATGGAAGCACGGATGGTCAAGAAAGGAAAGTGCTTTGGGAAGGTTTGGAGAAGCATTGTTCAGCTGATTTACCTTTGGTAATTGGCAGTGACTTCAACTGTATTCTCTCTCAAGATGAGAAAAGAGGTGGGAGGAAATTCATTATGACTCAAGGTTCCAAGAATTTTCAGCAATTTTTGATTAATAATGATCTGCATGAGGTTAAGGCTGTGGGACCAAAGTTTACATGGTGCAATAATAAATCTGGTAGTGCTCGTATTCTTGAAAAATTAGACAGATGTCTAATTAACTCCTTGGCTATGAATTTGTTACAAGTTGTCCTTGTTAAGCATCTCTCTCGTATTGCCTCGAACCACTGTCCGATTCTTTTTGAGATGTTTAAATATGTGGAATTTAGTAAGAGGGATATTCGGTATGAGGAGGTGTGGGCCTCGTATCATGGTGTCACTGCTTTAGTGAGGAAGATTTGGAACAAAAAATCTATTGGTGATCCGGCTTTTATTCTTAATTGGAAGTTTTAAAAGACGCTTAGAGGTCTTTTCTTCTGGAGCAAGGAAAAGCACCGTAGTTTAACTGAACTAAGAGACAGTTTAAAAGGAGAAATCCTGGAATTACAAATGGAGGATTCGGTGAATGGAATTCCAGAGGATAAGCTGCAACTGCTGAGATTCAAGATCAATGAACTGAATGTCACGTTAGCTCGCCTTAATGCTTGGTGGAAACAAAGAGCTAAAGTCAAATGGATGGAAGAAGGTGATAGTAATTCTTCATTTTTTCATGCCTTTGCTAGTGCAAGAAGAAATAGCAATTTGATTCATCATATTAGGAAGAGTGATGGTAGTATATCAGAAGTGGTTTCGGTTATTCAGAGCGTTTTTACAGAATTTTTCAGAAGGAAGTGGCAGCATAGAAATTGCTCTTTGGAGGGGTGGCCGAATCCTTCTCATTTGATTAGCAGTGAAGATCAAAGGCT